TTTGCATGGATTCACAATCAACCCTCATGGAATCTGAAGTCAAGAAATCAAATAATGTATTACATTGATCAAATCTACTCGCAAAGACCTCTTCAAAGGGATGAGGAACAAATATGTCCCTTTGAGGGCTCTGGTGCCCCGGAATCAATCATGACATATGTCTATAAGAGCGGAATTGTGAATCAGTAAGCTTGGAGAAGGATGGATAATTTGAGTTACGGTGTGTAACTCATGGACAGACAGATGAACAAACAAATCTGTCTTGGAAGAAGTACAGCTGGAACGCTCTTTCAACGTGAAGATAGCTAGACTTTGCCTCCGGTACTTTGGACATGTTATCAGGAGGGTCCCGCCCTTGGAGGAGGCTTGGTCAAGTGGACCGTCAGCAAACAGGAGGGAGATCACAGACGAAGTGGATTGACACAGGCTACAATAAGGTCTCTAACAGAGCACCAACTGTGAGGATGCCGCCGACGAACTGCGTAGTACTCCGTCCTGTCATAACCAATCTGCCAGCACCTCGCTGCAGAACTTAACATGTAACATTTTGCCATTGTTCATGCAGCTAGCCATATAACACCTATGAAAGCAGACTATTCATAAAAGCTTTAAAAATTAAGATGATTTTTCTATTACTGACATATTCAGGATACAATTTTCCATCTATTATCAATCATCTAAGGTTTATCACTTCACTCATTACACTTTGTTACCAACTTGTAAGGACATTTTGAAGGCTCTTCCATAAGCCTGTTGTGACGTAAGCTGACACCCTTTTGGTGCGTTTGCTTTCATTATTTATTGCCTTTGATTATCAGTATCTTTATAAAATCTACTTTTACTTGTCATTTGAAGTTGGAAGTACTATATGCAAACATCTGAAAATGAGCATCTAATAACCAGAAAGTTATGGATTACAATACTCTAGGTTATAGATACTACATATTACTAACAATAAAATACATAACACACCATCAGCGGTGGTGTGATTCATTGAAACTGAATATACTGAATGTTAGGAAGTACCATATGTTATATTTTTTTATTAAGCAATGCTTAAGATGATCATTTATTGAATGTCCTTTACAGTGAAAATAAAATATATGTCCAGAATTATAAATGAGATTGTTTGAATTATTGTAAATTATGGTATCATATAAAGGTAAATCTGTTGTCTTCAAAATTGGGATAAAAACAAGATTCAACTGCCTAAGTCGAGCAAGATGGAATTTCTCCAGCATTAAGAAACAATGACTGGTTCAATTTTGAGATTGAAATAGGTAATTCTATACCCCAGTAATTTCAGGCAGTAGTAAAGGAAAAGAAATACAGGATAGTATTAAAAACAAAACTCAACAAACTTACTGAAAGCAATTTGGCCCAAATACAGTGGCAAGATTGTGAACATCCATGCGATTGTACACATGATGCTGGGCCACTTTTGTCAAGAACTGGCACAGGTACTTCAGAAGGCAGTAGTGGGTGTCTGGCAACTCCTTTAGTAAGGCCCTTAGGCTAGTCTCCTGATCGTCAGTTCTGCCATCTGGAAAGACAAAGAATACAATATACTCTCCAGAACATTTGACAGTAATAGCAACAAAAGCACACACGATAGTAAATTCTGAAATTTTACTCAGGGGGAAAAAAAATGGTTCAGACACTGAGGTAGGACACAAATAAACAAAAGAATAAAAAGACAAGAGAAGCGGGCATTTCTGCCATGTTTGATCCTTGAAAATTTGACTTATATTTTCCTTAAGTTAAAGACTTCTAACTTTAAAAAAAAATCATTTTATTGAGGGCTCCTACAACTCTTATCACAATCCGTACATACAT